TCCCTTATATAAAGTGCTCTTTGAGTAACAAAGAATGTGGCGGTTGAGAGGAGGAAAGGGGAGTGAAACATTTAAGAATAAACACAGTCATTACCGTGAATTTCAGCATTATAATGACGCATTATAAGGGTCCATTAAGAGTTGTTTCAAACTCGACACGCAAACGTCAGCACGCACCGTGGACCAATGTTGAGGCAAAGTGAGGCCCATTCACAGAATTCTGTGGGCCCATTACACTCAAGTAATTATGGGTACGAACAGATGAGTCGTAAAACTTGCCCATACGCGAGGGCCATCAATGGTAAACACTCGATAATATGTTGTTGTCATACAAACGCGCTCGCGGGTTTTGGGAAGACAGTTAGCCTACGGCACTTGCAGTACAATTGGGTCATAAAAGTACCGAAGAAATTAGAGGTGTCACAAACACAAAAAGATATTTTAGTTTAGTAAAAGTAAGACTTTTACGGCGCTTACAACACAATATATGGCTATATAAACGCCGACGATTAGAAGTGTTACAAGAGAGTAACAAACAAAAACAGAAACAAAAACAAAAACGAAAAAATAAGGAGGAGAGATAAGAACGGTAGATGTTTGATGGGAAAAAAGGAGGAAAAAGAAAAACACACCATAGGGAAACACACCAACCACCAACCAAGAGCTGCCAATCTCTTCTTTTTTTTTAAAAAGATTAGATATGACCACAATAAGTCAAACGATGTATCAAAGTGTCAAAACAGATCAACTCGAATATTAAAATATACAAGGTTGATAGAGCATTCGAGAGTTCACTTCTATAAATTAAAAAGGTCACAGAGTAACAGCAGTCCCTTAAAATTGCCTGTTCAATATTTCACCAACCCGCAGTTGAAAACTTGAAGCGAAGACCATTTCAACGCCTCAAGCTGCAAACTGGCACTGTTGTCAACAACACACCTTGCTTACTAAACATTCGTTCCTTCGCTTCAGAAACAGATTTTTCTTTTTCTTTTTCTTTTCCTTACTCAGCCGCAAGCCTTTGGGCAATACGCATCTATCACCTGAAATCAAACATTCAACGGAAAGGCGCCAGTGTCCAATATGAGCTCTTCCATCTTCTTTGTAAAATCCCATTCATTTTCTTCTCCTTTTCGCACAGTGTAACGGCTTAAAAAATAGACGTGAAGTGCGTCTTCAGGGGGTGTTTTGAATCTTCACAGGAAGGCCTCGAATAGACTGTTTGGTTTGATGTTCTCCACAAGATACAATCTACGTGTGTTAAAAGAACGAAGAAGATTTTATTCACAACTGGCAGCTATGCGGAACACTGACAGAGGAGCCTAAATCCCCACAGGATAGCACGCTTTACATAAACAAGCATCTCTCTTCTCTTCTCTCATCATCTCTCTCTCTCTCTCTCTCTCTCTCTCTCTCTCTCTCTCTT